CGCCTAGGTAGCAAAACCACCATAGTAGTCTCATCCCCCAAAGCCGCCGAGCTATTCCTTAAAACCCACGACACCATTTTCGCTAGCCGCCCCCAAGTCCAATCCTCCAAGCACATGTCCTACGGCACGAAGGCCATGGCCTTTTCTGAATATGGTCCATATTGGCGCCATGTTCGAAAGCTCTGCACGCTTCAACTTCTTTCTCCTTCGAGAATTGAGGCTTTTGCTCCGCTGAGAAGGGAGGAGGTAGGGTTGTTGGTGCAGTCCCTGAAGGTAGCCGCGGAGGCCGGCGAGGTGGTTGATCTTAGTGAGAAGGTCAGTGAGCTTGTTGTGGGAATCACGTACAGGATGGTGTTGGGGAGAAAAAATAATGATATGTTTGATCTCAAGGGGATTATAGAGGAGGTCATGTTCTTGTCAGGAGCTTTCAACATTGGTGATTATGTGCCTTTCCTTATTCCACTTGATCTTCAGGTATGTTACCCTTCATCCTTAATTACCAAAATTGTAACATGCATGAATCAACAATAAAACCAGAGAAATGCTAGCAAGATCATAAAGTAGAAACATTTAGAATCACTGCTTGCACGCTACTGATCCTGAAATGCTAAAGAACAAACACAAGACGTTTGAAATAAGTAAATGCAAGTATAAACGACTGATCTTAACACTGTCCTCGTGAAAATTTTTGGATGGATGGTACATTAACAGGAACAGAAGCAGTGTCAACAAAGTAAAGTGAACAAGGTTAATTCATAGTTTAGGGAAAGTGAATCAGCCAGTAACTAATTCACAACGCTACTAACCTTAGAGGATTAGTTGTTTACGTTAGCCAGCGGGCTTTCATCGTCCGTTTGTTTGTTGGTGACATGATTCACAAGTCGCATCCACACACTGCTAAAAGAAAGATCATATCGTATTCGTATGGTCCATTTCCATAGGCTGCAAACATTGATGTTATCACCGCTGAGGGCAGTGACACTGACACGGTTTCTTATCTTATGCTTAATTTGGCTCCATTGTCAAGTTTAATTTGTCGACCAAAAAAGTGGGCAAGACATTTTCAATGCCCGCCGGGATATTCTATTACAATTAATTATTGGGATGTGATATTCATACATCCCATTTTACTTCTCATATACATTTTTAATTTTCAGCCGACGGATCGGATGGATTGAAGAAGATTAACAGACATAAATTATCAAGAGGTGTATGAGAAGTAAAATGAGGTGTGTGGATAGCACACCCCTAATTATTTTAGGAACGTTAATTTTTGCAGTCAACTGTATACAAATTATATGGTTGTTTTCTTTTATCCTTCATGGAAGACGTAATATTAATAAGGATTTTACCATTAAAAGAGTCTTTTACAAAAATTCAAAAAATAAAATGCTGGTAGTGAGTAGATACAGATTCTGAGGTTTATAATTAGTAATGCTAGGGAGACTAAATATGTAGATAAAATTTGTAAACAAAATGATGTGTTACGAATAGGGATGAGTACGTTTATCAATGCTTAAGTAATAATCCAATAATCAATTTCCATGTACTTTAGTTTACACAATTTTATCTCCAAATTTAATCTCTCTAGCATTACCCATATAATAATAATGTTATCGAAATTAAATTCAAATTTCTTGATTATTTTATATATATATGAATCAAACTAAGCATAACCAACGTGAAAAGCCTTTTGTATTAGATAATGCTAGGTACCCCAAATTTTAAACAAAATTTTGTAAACCATATGACATGGTTGTTGCTAATTGAATTATTACTTAAGTGTTAATTAACGTGCTTATTTCATATTGATAACACATCATGTGGTATGCAAATTTAGTCTCAAAACTTTGTTTACTTACCATTATTCTTTTTGTAATAAGGGTTTGCACGTGATCCCGTGATTGCCGCCATTTTATATATGCATGCATGTCTTGACCATTTCATTGCCTAGACTAAAATAGCGATGGCTAGAGTACTCATGTAGAAGACTAGTACGTATATTGATTGGATTGTATGGAATCTTAACTACTTCCTCTTAGGGATTGACCAAGCGCATGAAGAGAATTAGCAAGACTGTCGACCAACTATTCGAAAAGATAATTCAGGATCATGAACAAGTTTCTAGAAGTGAGCAAGTACAAGGCAATCATCATAAGGACTTTGTAGACGTGCTGCTTTCATTAATCCACCAACCATTAAACCCCAACGATGAGGAAGTATACATGTTCGAACGAACAAATGCCAAAGCCATTTTACTCGATATGATTTCTGGTTCCTTTGACACTTCAGCCATGGCAATCGTTTGGACCCTGGCCGAACTCTTAAGGCATCCGGAAGTTATGAAACGTCTCCAAAAAGAGCTCCAGAGTGTGGTTGGGATGGATCGAATGGTTGAAGAAAGTGATTTACCAAAGCTTGATTACTTGAGCATGGTGGTCAAGGAGAGCTTAAGGCTACACCCAGTTGGACCATTACTTATCCCTCATCAATCCATGGAGGACGTTATAGTTGATGGATATCACATACCCAAGAAATCAAGAGTCTTCATCAATATTTGGACCATTGGGAGAGATCCAAATGTATGGTCAGATAATGTGGAAGAATTCTACCCTGAAAGGTTTATGAATAGTAACGTTGACCTGCAGGGACATGACTTCCAGCTCATACCATTTGGGTCTGGTCGAAGACGGTGCCCTGCTATGCAGTTAGGGTTAACCACAGTTCGTCTAGCTCTGGGAAACTTGGTGCACTGCTTCAACTGGGAGCTCCCAACTGGCATGCTACCTAAGGACTTGGACATGACTGAAAAGTTCGGCTTATCGTTGTCGAAAGCCAAACACTTGCTTGCCATGCCGACGCACCACCTATAAAATCGACCTTCATGCGCACACACAAACACACAAACACACACACACAGAGTGTGTCTAGGCATAAATAAACAGTAATTAACTGTATACTTTGGATTTTAATTTTTGGTCAATATGGAACTTTATTAAGACAAGAAAATGTTACAGAAACAAAAATATTACCTAATAATTTGCATTGATGCAAGTGGCTTATAACTTGGTTAATTAAGAGCATTCACTTTGCACTCGAGGTTCTATGTTTGAATCCCCCTTCCTAAGTTCAATATAGATTGTCCTATCATTTAAAAAAGTTAATAATAATTTGCATTGGTATTGGATATGTAACCTTCCTACCAAAAGAAAGCACGCAACATAATTCTAATGTTCCAAGTATAAAAGTTTCCTAAAGAAAATAAAGCAACTTTCAGCATCACCTAAGAGCAACTCTAGTGTATCAAGGCCCCATAGGGTAACTTCCTATTGAATAGTCTCTAGTGAACAGTAACTGTCTTTAATGAAAAGTAATTATCTTTTGCATCTCCACCCTTAAACTGAATAGCCATGACAATATGTAATAAAATATTAGTAATTTTTATTTAATAAAATAATAAAAAATAATTTTATTTCAAATTTCGGATATGATTTTTAATCAGTCTTGTTGTACCACGTTTCATTAAATAAGAAATTACAACCCAAAGTATTTGAGAAAATATAAAATTATGGTGTAAGGTGGAAGATAATGATAAGATATTTATAGAAAAATTAAAACTTTTTTTTTTTTTTTTAGATTTCGGATGTTTTATTAATTGTTAACATTTTTTTAAATTTTTTTTATTAATTTTTTATTAATTTTATAATGTGACTGACGTCATCCATGCATCATCGGGCCACCAATTCGAGTCGGGCCTCTCATTCGGGCCCCCCCTCAACCCACACACCTGCATGGGTTGGAGCAAGTAGCTCGGGCTATTGGGTAGGAAAAATCAAAGGTCCATCGGGATATTGGTCCCAATGGAGTTGCTCTAATGAGTACAGAGGCCTAAAACAGAAGGAGGCCTGAAGTAAAAGTTTCATAATGAAGTTTATGCATCAGAGAACTTTAGACTTATTATTATAAATGTATTGCCAAAACACTACCAATGAACTATTTCAGCGTTACATGTTACTACTAAAACACTACAAATGCCCTTCAAAGGTACTAACCAAATAATTTCTAAATACAATCATTTCAAGGTGTCATTTGAAAGTTCTTCAAATATATTACATTTAGGCTTATTTTTAGCTACGGTTTTTGAAACTTCATTTTAATCTCACTTTACTTCTTGTAATTCACTTTACTCTTTGAAACTCATAATTCGCTCCAATTTATACATAATCATTCAGTCGGATAGCCCTTGTTTATACATAATCATTGTTAATTTCAACTAACGAAGATTAATTAACTATCAAATCTCGTACCTAATAGAATGTTGGGTATGCCACTTAGTACTATTGTCTAATGATATTTATCTTTACTTGTAAGTGAGAGGTCTTAGGTTTGATTCTCGCTAAAGGTGAATTTGAACCACATTATTGCTAGCTATTGCGAGTCCACGATATTTTTATCGTACAAATTTTATAATTGCAAAAATATATTTTATAGCATATACAATTGTTTCTACAAAATAAGTAATATAATTAAACATTATGTATATTAATCTTTAGTTGCATCTTTTTTTTTTTATTTGCTTGGGCCATGAGGTAAGTCAATCATTTGTCTTGGCGTGTCTGAATTTAATCCTCTCATACCTGCCAAAAGACTCATGCCTAATGCGAAAATCAATCCTTGAGTTTTATTATTTACGACGTAGAATTTTTTTCAAAAAGTGTGAAAAGAAGAAAATATTTTATTGTGCTAAACAGCATTGTACGTGAACATATTTGATCATTTCATGATTTTTCATATTTCTTAACATATTCAAATAATACGGGTCGAAGGATTAGTCCCCACCTCGTGCGGGGATACCTGAATTCATCCAGTGAAAAATAATACGGATGGCTACGAACGCACCGCGCAAACGAAAAACAAAACTTGAAACGCCGAGGGTATTTCGTCATTTTACATTTATTGGAAACACATGCGGCCTTATTTGGTGTGCCAGGTGAGACCCACCCCACTATCGGGAAAACTCTCTATTGGCCTATCTCTTCCCGTCTATCATCTCCCACATTTTCTCTCTACCTCTCTCTGTGTCCAAACAAAAAGTCCACCACACCATCTTCCGACGAATTTTTTACACCAAAATCACCATACTTGTGACCGTCTCACTCCCGCGAACCCAGTTATGGGTTTTGTTTGATGAAAAACCGAAGAAAAAGGAGATTCTGGAGCTTCAAAACGGACCAACATCATCCCGGCGAATTTCCCGCCGATTCCGGCCAAGGTGAGGGCTCTAACCACCATATTTGGACTACTCTCGTTGAGTAGATGAATTTTCATATATGAATAGTGGAATTTGGTGAGAAATGAGTGAGATATGAGCGTTTGAAATTTCCCCAGAAAACTGGCCATTTTCTGCAGATTCTGGCGATTTGGCTTAATTTGGTTCTTGTCCATTTTTCCCACCCTGTGGAAGTGAAATATTCTTTAAAACCCTTGAAGTGCAGAACATGATGCTAACAAGCCACTGAAGCCAGACAGACGCACGAACCAAACCCAACGGCGCCAATTGCAATACATCTACGTTCAACTTTCAATTAACTTCAATCAACTTTCTTGCTACCATTCGTCATTAAACTTATTCAAATTCTTCGACCAACTTTATAAAGACTGCAGAGGTGGGCCGAGGATCGTAGCTACATAGCGCGAATGAATCTGGTGAGTTTAACTCTCATTCTATACGGTTTAATTAGTTTAAACTTGAAATATTGCTTATATAAAATAAGAGAATTGTTATTAGCACTCTAAAAATTTCATTTTGCACATCAATTTTTTGTAAATAGAAAGTAAAATACATTTGTGAAGAGTCCGGAATAAGATTTTTGAAGTGCTAATAACAGTTCGTATTCATATGACTTTGATTTTTTCTGTCAGTTAGTAAAATTTTGTTTTGCTTGTACTAGGGTAAAGTTCCCATTTTCACGTACATGATTTGACTCCATTTGGTAATATTTTGATCAGCCGTTGGATCTTGAATCACTCTCTTTAAGTATCCAACTATATGAGTCTATGTCCAAATGTCCCATTTCTCGATCTCACCTAGAAATCAAGTAAAAATGAGTCCTTCAGAAATAGCCATCCTAATCCTTGTCTTCCTTGCCTTCTTATGGTCTCTCCTCCACATCCTAATCAACGCCTCCTCAAGGCAAAGCCAAAAACTGCCTCCAGGCCCTAGGGCTCTACCAATCATTGGCAATCTTCATATGCTAGGCAACCTCCCACACCGCAGCCTCCAGAACCTAGCCAAAAAGTACGGACCCATAATGTCCATGCGCCTAGGCAGCAAAACCACCATAGTGGTCTCATCCCCCAAAGCCGCCGAGCTATTCCTTAAAACCCACGACACCATTTTCGCTAGCCGCCCCCCAAGTCCAAGCCTCCAAGTACATGTCCTACGGCACAAAGGCCATGGCCATTTCTGAATATGGTTCATATTGGCGCCATGTTCGAAAGCTCTGCACGCTTCAACTTCTTTCTCCTTCGAGAATTGAGGCTTTTGCTCCGTTGAGAAGGGAGGAGGTAGGGTTGTTGGTGCAGTCCCTGAAGGTAGCCGCGGAGGCGGGCAAGGTGGTAGATCTTAGTGAGAAGGTCGGTGAGCTTGTTGTGGGAATCACGTACAAGATGGTGTTGGGGAGAAAAAACAATGATATGTTTGATCTCAAGGGGATTATAGAGGAGACAATGTTCTTGACAGGAGCTTTCAACATCAGTGATTATGTGCCTTTCCTTATTCCACTTGATCTTCAGGTATGTTACCCTTCATCCTTAATTACCAAAATTGTTACATGCATGAATCAACAATAAAACTAGAGAAATGCTAGCAAGATCATAAAGTAGGAACATTTAGAATCACTGCATGCACGCTACTGATCCTGAAATGCTAAAGAACAAACACAAGGTTATTTCATAGTTTAGGGAAAGTGAATCAGACAGTTACTAGTTCACAACCCTACTAATCTTAGAGGATTAGCTGTTTACGTTAGCCAGCTGACTTTCATCGTCTTTTTGTTGGTGACATGATTCACAAGTCGCATCCACACACTGCTAAAAGAAAGATCATATCGTTTTCGTAGGATCCATTTCCATAGGCTGCAACCATTGATACTATCACCGCTGATGGCAGTGACATTGACACGGTTTCTTATCTTGTGCTTAATTTGGCTCCATTGTCAAGTTTAATTTGTCAACGAAAAAAGTGGGCAAGACATTTCCAATGCCGGTCGGGATATTCTATTACAATTCATTATTTTAGGAACCTTAATTTTTTGCAGCCAACTGTATACAAATTATATGGTTGTTTTATTTTTTTCCTTCATGGAAGACGTAATATTAATAAGGATTTTACCATTAAAAGAGTCTTTTACAAAAATTCAAAAAATAAAATGCTAGTAAGGAGTAGATACAGATTTTGAGGCTTATAATTAGTAATGTTAGGTAGACTAAATTTGTAGATAAAATTTGTAAACTAAATGATGTGTCACAATTAGGGATGAACATGTTTATCAATGCTTAAGTAATAATCCAATGATTAAGTTTCATGTACTTTAGTTTACACGATTTTGTTTCCAAACTTAGTCTCTCTAGCATTACCCATATAACAATAATGTTATAGAAATTAAACTCAACTTACATGATTATTATATATATGTATGAATCAAACTAAGCATAACCAACATGAAAAGCCTTTGTATTAGGTAATGCTAGGTAGTCCAAATTTTAAACAAAATTTTATAAACCATGTGACATGGATGTTGATGATTGAATTACTATTTAAGTGTTAATTAACGTGCTTATTTCATATTAGTGACACGTCATGTGGTATGCAAATTTAGTCTCAAAACTTTGTATGTTTACAATTATTCTTTTTGTAATAAACATGCATGTCTTGATGACCATTACATTGCCTAGATTAAAATAGCGATAGTTATGGAGTACTCATGTAAAAGACTGGTACATATATTGATTGGATTGTATGGAATCTTAACTACTTCCTCATAGGGCTTGACCAAGCGCATGAAGAGAATTAGCAAGACTGTCGACCAACTATTCGAAAGGATAATTCAGGAACATGAGCAAGTTTCTAGAAGTGAGCAAGTACATGGCAATCATCATAAGGACTTTGTAGACGTGCTGCTTTCATTAATCCACCAACCATTAAACCCCAACGATAAGGAAGTATACATGTTCGAACGAACAAATGCCAAAGCCATTTTACTCGACATGATTTCTGGTTCCTTTGACACTTCAGCCACGGCAATCGTCTGGACCCTGGCCGAACTCTTGAGGCACCCGAAAGTTATGAAACGTCTCCAAAAAGAGCTCCAGAGTGTGGTCGGGATGGATCGAATGGTTGAAGAAAGTGATTTACCAAAGCTGGATTACTTGAGCATGGTGGTCAAGGAGAGCTTAAGGCTACACCCAGTTGGACCATTACTTATCCCTCATCAATCCATGGAAGACGTTATAGTTGATGGATATCACATACCCAAGAAATCAGTAGTCTTTATCAATATTTGGACCATTGGGAGAGATCCAAATGTATGGTCAGATAGTGTGGAAGAATTCTACCCTGAAAGGTTCATGAATAGTAACGTTGACCTGCAGGGACATGACTTCCAGCTCATACCATTTGGGTCTGGTCGAAGACGGTGCCCTGCTATGCAGTTAGGGTTAACCACAGTTCGTCTAGCTTTGGGAAACTTGGTGCACCTTTTCAACTGGGAGCTCCCAACTGGCATGCTACCTAAAGACTTGGACATGACTGAGAAGTTCGGCTTATCGATGTCGAAAGCCAAACACTTGCTTGCTATGCCGACGCACCGCCTATAAAATCGACCTTCATATATTATTATACACACACACGGGGGGTGTGTCTAGGCATAAATAAACAGTAATTAACTGTATACTTTGGATTTTAATTTTTAGTCAATATGGAACTTTATTAAGACAAGAAAATGTTACAGAAACAAAAATATTACCCAATAATTTGGATTGATGCAAGTAGCTTATAACTTGGTTAATTAACTTTGCACTCGAGGTTCCATGTTTGAATCCTGCTTTTTTTATTTATTATTATTTTTTTATTTTTTGGAAAACAAATCCCCCTTCCTATGTTCAATATAGATTGTCCTATCATTTAAAAAAGTTAATAAGAATTTGGACTGGTATTGGATATGTAGCCTTCCTACTAAAAGAAAGCACGCAACACATACCTTTCCAAGTATGAAAGTTTCCTAAAATAAAACGACTTTCAGCATCACCTGAAGAGTACAGAGGCCTAAAACAAAAGGAGGCCTGAAGTAAAAGTTTCATAATGGAGTTTATGCATCAGAGAACTTTAGATGTATTGCCAAAACACTACCAATGAACTATTTCAGCGTTACAAGTTACTGCTAAAACTCTACAAATGCCCTACAAAGGTACTAACCAAATAAATTCTATATACAATCATTTCAAGGTGTCATTTGAAAGTTCTTTAAATATATTATATTTAGGCTTTTTTTTTAGCTATGTTTCTTGAAACTCCTTTTTAATCTCACTTTGCTTCCTGTAATTAAAAAATTGTCACTTTACTTCTTGAAACTCATAGTACGCTCCACTTTGCCCCATAGAACTTGATTTTGATTCAATTTTGCCCCTTAAAACTTGAAAGTCGTCCCTGTAAAACTCAAAATTCGCTCCACATTGCCTTAAATCTATTAATTTCAAGGTGCCATTTAAAAGTTCTAAAATCAATCATTTCAAGGTGTCATTTAAAAGTTCTTCAAATATATTACATTTGGACTTATTTTTAGCTACGCCCCCTAGAACTTCATTTTAATTTCACTTTGCTCTATATAACTCAAAAATTACCACTTTACTCCTTGAAACTCATATTCGCTCCACTTTGCCCCCCTAAACTTCATTTTGATCCCATTTGCCCCCTGAAACTCGAAAGTTGTTTTTGTAAAACTCAAAATTTGCTCCATATTGCCTTAGATCTATTAGTTTCTTATGTGGGTTTGATTTGGGTGCGCTAGGCTAATCATTTATTTTTTTTATTTTTTTCATCTCTTCAATTTCTTTTAAACTTAAATTCTTTGGTTGTTAAGTATTAACACATATTGGAGATTTATAACCAAATTTATTGCACTTGTGGTATAGTATTATTAGATGTTGGGTCCCACATATGTTTCAGGAGGCGACGTATAAGTTTTATGGTCAAAGTGAAATGAATTTTGTGTTTCAAGGAACAAAGTGGTGACTTTTGAATTACAGAGGGAAAAGTGGAGAGATTTTTCAGTATGATCAGCACATGGAGTGGTACACCACGTGTCACTATACAAATGGTGGGATATGTGTGTTAAAAAGTTATTAACTTAAAAAATAAAAATTTTCACCACTTACATAAAAACACATGGTGTACCATCCGTGTTCCATCACAATAAAAAATTTCTCCGTAAAATGAGGTTAAAATGAAGTTTTTTTTTTTTGGGGGGGGGGGGGGGGGGGGGGGGAGATCGTATTTAGCAAGACGATGGTTTAATTGGCTAGTTTAGCACCACTTCAACTGTTTGATGTTTATGTTTTGATTCATATGGACGTACAACAACCAATTTGGTTATCTTGTCAATTTTTTTGCCACCCTCTGAAATGAAATATATTTACTTCTCTTCTCATCCATGTTAGAAGTATGTAATCACCATGAACCAAAGACCACAGATGTGCCATTAAGCCTCGAACACAAGAGCAACGCTTAGAGTTTATAAGAACAAAGTACAAGGATCATATCAGCCTGTCAAACAATTAACCTTCTCCTCTTTAACAATAATCAATTGCTCTCCAAGAATAGGTCTAAGATCCAATATGAGCCATGTATTGCAAGAGCAGAGGCTAGTGTTTATATACTCACCATAATCCTCACTGTTCTCCTATTAGAATCAGTATAGGACTCAACTATCCATTCCACATGCGTATAAACACAATCCCAATCCACGTTCAAGTCCACAAAACTTAAACCATTATCAGTACTCTCAATCCTGCAAGAATTAGGATTACTTGAAGCCTATTAATCAGACTTTTCCATATCAATTCATACACCACAACCGAATACAATGTTAATTTCATACTCACAATCTAACAATTCACCGATCTGCCTGCCGTAGTAATAAGGCAACCGAACATTGGTTTTCAAGGGAACCCCATCGAAGAAGTGCGCAGAACATAATGTAATACCACAATTCGACACGAGTGGCAAACTTGCTAGCTCACGCTTAGCTTCATTGAATCCATTCATGGGCATTACGTAATGCTACAATAACCATTTCTTGAACAAGCTTCTTCAAAATTCACCACTCCCTTCTCTTTAGTATAAACAAGGAGAGTTTTCGTAATAATAGGATAGATTTGTGTAAGATATCGCTGGTACTTGAAAAAAATTCTTTATCCCAACTTCGTAAACATTAATTGAGGTGAGCATACCTACATTGGCAAGTGATGTGTTCCCCTTGCAAACTTGAGTTCGAATCACATTCCTCACAATTTAATATGCTTAAGATCTAATATCGCTTACTAAAAAACTATAAAACGAACGACTTGTTTGATGATGATTTAGTTTTTAGTTTTCATTTTTGTAGAGGGAAAATACATGGAGAAATGATGGGTGGAGATGTAAGGAAATATATGTAAGAAAGGTACACAAAATGAAAACTAAAAAGATAATGCTTGTGTTCTCCCAAACTGAATGATTTTCTTTACGGATATGATCGTTAGATGACGATAAGAAAATGAACGGTTTCCATAAGATATTTGGATGCTAAAGATACGTAGTTCCACTACCATAAGCGAAGGACAAATAAGTTCCTCCATGAGAGGAACACAAGAGGCCAAGTATATATGAGAGAGGAGTAGAGAACGGACAAACATATAGGCCAATCAACTCCCTTAAATCAAGGGAGTTATGTTGACTGATATTGACTCAAGGAAATGCCACATAATCTGTCATGTCATCAACATTACTGTTAAGAGTTAGTTAGGGTGGTTATTAGTAGCTTACACAATAAGAAAGGTAGTTAGACTACTAGAGAGGTATAAAAAGGCTGATTACAGCTTAATGTTTGTATCGTGTATTCGTTCTAACAACACAATCTCTCTCATCTTCTCTCTAAGCTTTTGATATTCTCTTTGTTGTTTCTTCTTCTTGTCCTTTTCTGCAATTATGGTTGCTTCTGTTAAGATGGTATCAATCGCCCGAACGATCATTGGTGCTATCTCTTCCGCTGACGATTTCGGTGAAGTTCTTGGAGGTTTGTTACAGTTCTTGGAGACTTGCTGATCGGTTTTCTTTGATTCTTGGGTCGCTGAATTAAGTATAAGGTCGATTACTTTCTTCCTTTATTTTCTGCACAGGTGTTTGTGTTTTTGCATAAGTGAAGAATTATGGCGATTTTGGGTGTTTTGTTTGGTTGTTTGTATCTGGGTGATTTTCTGCATGTGATTAAGGCTGATGCCAAGAGTTGTTGATCTTAGAAGAAGTGTATGTGTGTCTGCGATAAGGATTGGAAGCAAAGATTTTTGTCATTGCTGAGATATATGCAGTTGGAGTGTGTAAATCAAGAAGGCCGATGCCAAGGTAGTTAAATGTTAAATGTCTGAGTTTGTTGGTTTGCAAAGTTGATAATTGTTGAAGACTGAAGGTAAAAGATTACTCATTGCCATTGATTGTTGGTATATGGTGATTTGCGAATTGTGATTTTCTTGAAAGATTAGTGTTTGTTACAGATTGGTATTTGTATATTGTGACCGGTTGTTGAAGATTGTTGATGGTTGTGAAAGAATTAAGTGATCAAGATGTCTGATAAATCAGTACGAATTGAAAATTTGCTTGGTATGTTAACTGTGAAATTGCAAGATGACAATTTTGTTAAGTGGAATTATCAGTTTCAGTCAGCCTTGAGAGGGTATGATTTCTTGGAGTTCTTTACTGGTGAATCTCCTTGTGCACCAAAGTTTGTGATTGATACTGAGAGTGGAGTGACTAAAGAAATAATAGAGGCTTATAAATCTTGGGTTCAAAAGGATATGGCACTATTGAGTTTGTTGATTGCTACTCTATCAGATTATGCTTTGGAATATGTAATAGGGTGTAAGACATCACATGAGGCTTGGACAAATTTACAAGAAAGATATGTTTCTGTGTCACGGGCTAAAGTTAATAAGCTCCAAACTGAATTTCATACCATTCAAAAGGGTGGTGACTTTATTGATAAGTATTTGCTCAAGTTGAAAGCTATTCGTGATCAACTATTGTCTGCAGGGGAGAACATTAATGATAATGATATGGTTATAAATGCCCTATCTGGATTACCACCCGAGTTTGATATGGTTAAGACGGTTGTTCTAACCAGAGAGACTTCTATTCCTCTAAAAGACTTTAGAGCACAGTTGATTGGTGCTAAATCTGCTATAGAAGCAAGAATCACTACTTTAGCAAGTAGCATGGCTGCAATGTATGTTCAGGGTAATCAATCTAAGAATGGGAATCAGAGTAATAGTTACTCACAAGGGGAGAGTATTAGTGCTGTTTCAAGATTTGTTGATAGTCAAGGGTATCAAGACGTAAACATGTCTTATAATAACATGAATGGTTACAATTCTTCACAAAATTATAACAGGAATGGATACGGTGGGTATGGTTCTTTTAATAACTCAAGGTCTTACTTTGGCAATCGACAGAGAGGAGGAAACAATTATAATGGCTCTAGGAACTCTTGGAATGGAAATTCTTGGAATGGAAATTCTTGGAATGTGTTCTCGAATTGTGCATATTGCTCCAAATTGCTTAAACATGAGTGATAATGATTCAGGTTCAAATGGATACTAAGTTACTATATGTCAATTTTGTGAGGAAAAAGGGGCATACTGCTCTAGAATGCAGGCACATAAACAATTATTCCTATCAGGGTGCACTTCTACCTTCTCTCACTGCATTTTCTGCTCAAGCACCATCTCACATGACTGCATTAGAATTTGGTCAGAATGTTCAAAGCTTTTCTGCTGTTAATAAATGGGTGCTAGACACTGGTGCATCACACCATGTGACAGCTAATCTTGGGAACCTAAATCAACCTGTGCAGTACAATGGTGATGATAAAATCACTATTGGTAATGGGGAAGGTTTGATTGTTAACCATATTGGTTCTGCAACTCCTTCAACTCCACATCATTTACTGTTTCTCAAGAATATCTTACATGTTCCAACAATTACTGTTAATCTCTTATCTGTCAAGAAACTGTGTAAAGATAATAATTGCTACTTCATATGTCATGAGATTGTGTTCTTTAGACAGAACAAGACAACAAGAATCATATTGTACCAAGGCAAGAGTAGAGGAGAGCTGTATGAGATCATGTGAATGTGTTTTCAAGAAGATTGGTTGCTGGTTCAAATAAAGCAGTTGCACTACTTGGGAAAGCTAGGAAAGTTTCAGTTTGGCATAAGAGACTAGGGCACCCATCTGAAGAAGGACATTCTGATATTTGGGGGCCTACTCCAACTAAGTCTCTAGAAGGGTTTATGTGTTATGTAAGTTTTATGGATGAATTCTCAAGATTTGTATGGATCTTCCCTATTATCAATAAATTAGATAGTGTTCAAGTTTTCTGCATTTGTTACAACTCAGTTCAATTCTATAATTAAGTGCTTACGAACAGATGATGGTTCTAAATATATGAGGAACAAATTTCAGTCTTTCTTGGCAACTAAAGGAATTATACATTTTATATCATGTCCTTGTACTCCTCATCAAAATGGTCTTACTGAGAGGAAACATAGACATATAGTAGAGATTGCAATTACACTTTTAACTGAGGCTGAGGTTCCATTACAGTTTTGGAATTATGCTTGCAATCATGCTGCATCTCTAGTTAATAGAATACCATGTAAGATTTTGGGGAAGAAGTCTCTCAATCAGCTATTGTTTAATCAAGAACACGTGTTGAATATATTGAAAATATTTGGATTTGCAGTATATCCATTCTTAAGGCCATATACTCAAAACAAATTGCAACCTAGGTCCAAGCAATGTGTTTTTCTAGGTTTTGCTGCTGGATATAAGGGAGGGGGTAGTATGCTATGATTTAGGTAGTAATAAACTGGTACTGTCAAGACATGTAATTCATGATGAGAATACATTTCCATTTAAAAGAAGACTGCAATTATCTTCTGGGAAGTCAAACAAGGTACAGGGTACAAAAATGTCTCCAATCATTGTTCATTTGTCATGTTCTGATTCTAATACAACTACAACAACATCTCCAACACATAGAGAGTCATTTGCAAATCCTGAAATTGTTGAAGAATGATCAAGGAATCGCTTGGAGGTTCTAAGCTCATCCAGTCAAGATTCACGGGATCTCAATGCTCATAACAATAGCTCTTATACTCTCTCAACATCAGCTCCAAGTACAATATCATTGTTGCCTATCCACAGTCCCTCACAATTAGAGGCAATCCTACCAATTTCTTCTCCTAGGGTTGAAACTAATAAAGAATCAGTTCACACTATGGTCACAAGGTTGAAGTCAGGTGTAGTTCTAAGAAGATCTTATACATGTTACATTGCTTTGTTTCCAGAATTACAAACATTACAGGTAGATGATGAGTGTGAATTTACTGGTAGTTTATCTTTCATTGCTGCAATTAAATATTTGGATGAATCATCGACATTCAGAAAAGCTTCTACAATTCCACAGTGTTAAAATGGAATGCAAGAAGAGTTTAATGCACTCAAGGCTCAAGGAACATGGCATTTGGTTCCTTCTACACATGACAGAACAATTATTGGAAGTAAGTGGGTCTATAAAATTAAGAAAAATCATGATAGAAGTGTATCCAGGTATAAAGCCAAAATTGTGGCTCAAGGTTTTTTGACTACTCATAAACCTTTAGTCCAGTGGTAAGACACACTATTGTGAGATTAATTTTGTCTTTAGCAACTATATATAAATGGGAATTGAGGCAGTTAGATATTGTAACGACTCGTAACGATTTTTTTTTCAAATGTGAGGGCGTTTTGGTAAATTTATAGGCGAAATATCTAACCTTTTCAGACCACTACATGGGTGACATGTGGCACCCTCTAATTGGTGCCTTCCTCCATTCTCCTCTCCCGTGCGCTCTCTCTCTCTCTCTCTCTCTCTCTCTCTGTATATCTCTTGGTGCTCTTCCCTCCGACGCAACCAGCACACACACATACATACACACACACTACAACCCCCACACCACCATTGCTGCCACTAGGACCCTTTTTCTCCCTCACATTCTGCTCTCACTCTTTCTCATCCCTTGACACTGTGCAGTCACGGCGTGGTGACTCCGGTGAGATCTTGAACCTTCCGACTAAGGTAAGCACCTTAGATTCCCCTTTAGTTTGTGTTTTAGGGTAGATCAGGGTATTTTAAGACATTGTGGGGTGGTTTGGATGTAGAAATATATCGGGTCCGACGAGTGACCATGAGTGTCTGGCCATTTTCCGACCGATCCCGACGTCAATGTCGCTTCATTTTGGTAAGACTCGAACCCTTACTCTTTGATCTTCATTTCGGCTTTTGAATGAAGGTTTTTGGTTAAGGTTGGACCCCGGATCGGAGCCAGGGAAGTTTTCTCAGCAAAAACCCCAAGTCCGGTGTTCTTCAATGTTTTCAGTCGGCCCATGGAAGAATTGGGTCAATTTGGCCCTAGCCAATTGGGAGCCCATTCTATTAGCCCTTTTAAATCCGGGCCCAGGTCCAAAACCCAATTAGCTTAACCCACTACCCTATTAATCCTTAGCTCATATCTAAACCCTTAGCCCTAAACCCACCTAAATATAACCCAAATGTAGCCGGCCCACTAACCCTAAACCAAGACCCTGTCGTTTTTCCAAATTTCAACGTTTTAGTAGTATTAAATGTAATGTAATTCCTTTATGTATAGGTGCATCGGTTGAAGGTGATGTAGCCTATCTTAGTACGAGCGGCCCTCCAGTATTAGAATACAGTGAGTGGACCCTTCATAACTTAATTATTTTTATAAAATATTAGCCTAGCATGCATTTCATAATTCATGCATTTAATACATTTTATATTATGTTTTCCGGGTTTATATAATTATGGTTTATATCGAATTCATGGTTTAATAGCTTTTACGGAATATTCATGATTTTATTGAAATTACACTTACGAACGGTTATGAATTATGAAATTTGCATATATGGATTTCTATTGATCTCGAATATGACTTATATTATGAAGTTACAAAGATGATTTATTTTATAGATTTGTGAACATGATTTGTCATGGATTTATGATACGAGATTTTGAAATATGTTTTTAGTACTTATCTAGTGAGTTATCATACGACACATCCGCATACCACATGTATTATGTCTATGGCCATATGACACAGATGATGGAGGAAAGATATGATATATTATATGTACACCCAGCTTTATTGCCGAAAGCAATGTCGGACAGCTTCACTAGCCACGGCTAGTGTCGATGTGGATGTATGTTATTTTATACAGCTTTACCTACGGGTGATGGACATGTTATTCAGCTTCACCTTTGGGCGACTATGATACCCCTAGTTGAGTACAGTACGGCTATGATTTACGATGTTTCACAAATGTTTTACACTGCATGCTAGGGTTTTTATAAACCCTACTATGTAGTATTATATATATGTTTTCAAAACAGGGGGTTATTATCTTCTAAAATAAATTGGTTTTTGTACTATTCGTATTATTATAAATTGTGGTCCACTTACCTTTTCTGTTTTTGCGCCCCCTCAGGACATAGTGAAGAAGAGTACGACCCGAGCTTTGAGGCTTTTCCATACCAGTGACTCTATTTGCTTTCATCTATGTATGGCTCTTCTTTACTCTTGTAATTTGACGCTCACCTTTCTTTTGTACTCTACTTAGTGGTATGCTCTGGACGTATTGTATCTTTACTTTAGACTTGTATTTGTTGATTTTTCCTATTTCATTCATGGGAGTTTTGCATCATCATTGTGTCATTTAGCATTCATATTTTCATATTATTTCCGTTTGTTATTTGAAATTGAATTTGCAAGTTCTTACATATTCCTATTTGTTTCGTACCATTCGGGTTTATTCCTACACTTAGGGCTTTCGTCACTCCTGAGTATCGGCTTGCATGTGTCATCTAGGTGGCATTAGGATATCTGGATTGGGGCGTGTCAGATATCAAAAATGCATTTCTGCATGGTGACTTACAGGAAGAGGTGTATACGAAACAGCCTCAAGGGTTTGCTGATCAAACTAAACCCAATTATGTCTACAAGTTGATCAAATCCTTATATGGGTTAAAACAAGCTCCTCGAGCATGGAATTCAAAGTTCACAAGCTATTTACCAACTTTGGGATTTGTTGCATCTTCATATGATACAAGTTTATTTGTGAAAAGTGATGACAAGGATGTTGTTGTTCTTTTACTATATGTGGATGACATCATTTTGACAGGATTGAATGCTACTAAAGTTCAACAAGTTATTGAAGATTTGGCAGGTGTTTTTGAATTGAAGGATATGGGAAGACTTACATACTTCTCGAGTCTCCATATTCATTACAAGGAGAATGTGGACATATTTGTGAATCAATCAAAGTATGTTAAAGATCTTATTCACAAAGCTGGAATAGAGTCTTGCTAACCGGTAAATACTTCATGCAAGCCACACAATCAAATGTTATTGAATGAGGGTAAACCATTGCAGGATTCTACATTGTACAGAAGTTTGGTTGGTTCAATGCCTAGCCTTTACACCCCCAGATATAGCTTATGCTGTGAATTTAGTTTGTCAATTTATGACTACTCCAACAAATGTGCATCTAGCCTTTATGAAAAGAATTATTAGATATCTTCAAGGTATTGTAGAATGTGGAATCACATATTCAGTTGATACTAATATTCATTTAACATCATTCTCTTATGCTGATTGGGTTGTTGATTTGAATACACGACTGTCTGTGACTGGATATGTGGTATATCTTGGTGGGAATCCAATTTCTTGGCGATCAAAAAAGCAATCCTAGGTTTCTAGAAGCTCTACAGAGGCAGAATACAAGGCACCTGCACATACTGTAGCAAATGTGGCATGGATTCAGTTGATTTTGAATGATTTGGGGGTAGTTTTGCTTATTCAACCAACCATATTTTGTGATAATATGTCAGCTATAGCACTTAGTGCTAATCCTGTTTATCATTAGCGAATTAAACGCTTTGATACGGATTATAATTTTGTCTGAGAGAGGGTGCATAAAGGTGATATGTTGGTCGAGTACCTACCTACTGATGAACAGATAGATGCTGTGAGTGGAAATGCGAGTGGCAAGATCCATTGTAAAATAAAAATAGTAATTTTATAATAGGAAACAGCTCCTCCGTCTCCCTAGACGTGCAAATGAAGTTACTAAAAACTACCCACTTTCACCATACTTTTCACCCCACGTTGCCTGTCAAACTCAAGGTTCTTCAAAGTCTACTAGAAGATGAGCATCACTTTGTGTGTTAACAATTTTATTTTATTTTTTATTTTTGATTAAGGAGTGATTAGTTTTTAAATTTTTTAGAAAAAGTATGAGACAATGATGTTGAGATCTTTTAATAAGGGCATATTTTTTTAATATTACATAATTATGATTTTACCCACTTTATGTAAATATTGTGTATCAAAAGTGAGGGTAAAATAAGAAAAAAATGGGGATATGATTAAGGAGTGTGATTAGTTTTTAAAATTTTTAAAAAGAATATGAGACAATGATGATGAGATCTCTTAATAAAGGCATATTTTTCTTAATATTACATAATTACCATTTTACCCTTTTTATGTAAATATTGTACATCAAAAGTAAGGGTAAAATAGAAAAATAAGGATATGATTGTTATTTTCTCAAAAGATATAAAATTACTATTTTACCATTCTTATGTCAATATTCTGTATTGAAAAGTGAGGGTAAAATTGAAAAAAAAGTGGGGAAAAAAAGTTGGCAAGGGGTCTCCTCTGAATAGAATAGATAGATAAATAGGACGTAAAACACAAGGGAGAGGGATGGCAAAAGCATACAGAGGAGAGACAAAAAACACTGAAGAAATTGAGAGGCAAACAGAGGAGAGGATACACGACAAAGGAAAGCAACGAAGCATTCAAAGGTACAAATCCATCCTTCTAAATCTTTCTTTGTTTGGTTTCTCTCGGCTTTGCAGGAAAAAGAAAAAGAAGCAATTTGCTTCTTCAATGCTCTTCGCTCCCCGTCGCTGCCAACTCCATGAATTTCTTGTGGGTGGTCTAAACCACCCCGTGAAGTTCCAATCAAGTCCAAGTGATCCATGCTCCCGGTCGCTGCCGTCAACTCCATGAATTTCTTGTAGGTGGTCTAAACCACCCCGTGAAGTTCCAAACAAGTCTAAGTGATCCATGCTTGCCGTCCATGCCAAGAAAGAATAGAGCAGTCGGAGTCACTCCTTACAATGTCGTCGCTGCCATGAATTCCTAAGTGGTCTAGATCACTCGTTGACGAACTCCACAGCCAGACGCTCTCTGTTCCATGCCATTGTCGTCGGCCCCATAAATTTCCAAGGAGTGGTCGATGCTATCTATCGTCCATGCTCTGTGCCGAGGAAGACGACGCATGAAATCCTCCATCTAAACCAGCAAGTAGAAGGCGACGTCAAGTTTGGTCGTTGATTAACATTTGTGTTTTGAGAAAGCTCGCATAAATTTGCTGCACAAAGGACTCTCTGGTTGCCTACCGTTCAATGAAGTTCGTCGCCTTCATAAGTAGTGCCAAGCTTCAGACACGGCTCTTTCACAAGAAATCAGTAGCGAGAACAAAGACCACTAACTTCTTTCTCACATGTTGATCGTTGCTCTAAATACTAAGACATGTTGCTGCTTTGAAGTTGAAGACATGCTGCTGCAGTTTTCTTATAAATCTCATCAAAGGCTCTGGAGCTTTCATAAGGTCCATGAAGAAAGAAAGTGCAACTGCGCAAATGGCAGGTGGTGAAGAATGAAACAAGTTGGATGCCATGCACCTTGTGGTGAAGCAGGAAGAGTTCGGCATGCTGTCCTTTTCATCAAAAGTTAAGATGGAGGGAGACAAGCAGCAACGACAAAGAAGTGGTGTGTCGTCCTTCCTTTCTCGCGGATGAACAAGCAACGGCAGATGAATAACATAGGTTGTTGTCTTCCTTTCATGAGTCTTCGATACACTGCTTATTTGAAATAAGAAATAGGACTTTCAAAAAGAATTCAAAAGACTTTGGGAGAGCTTCAGCCAACAAAAACAGGTGTTTAAATGCCTTTTCAGCCCGTGTGGCATGAATCCCACGAAAAGAAAAATTATTGCATGAGGGAAATAGATATGTGTTTATTTTTCTCACACGTAAAGTCCTACTGGACTATGAAGAATTCAAATTCACAGAGAAGCAATAAATGCTTGCTGACAACCCCCCAAGTCAAATGGGAAAGACACTCACGTGGCAACTTTAAAATGCCACAGCTCTCCAACTTCTTTTGAAAGAAAGTCTGACTATAAAAGCCTGAAAAGGCATTTATAAAAGAAATGGTGCTCTGCCCCTTGCTTTTATATTTTCATTAAACAACATGAAAGCAAAGACTCGGTGTTCTGTAATCTGTTGTGCAAGCTGGAAAAAAATCGAGAAATTCCCAAACCATACTGAAATAATCTCGAAACCAAACTGAAAACTTCCCAAACCGAAAATTCCGAACTGTTCGATACCCGACCCTGAAAAGTTCGGTATGAGATTGGGATATCATAGACTTGTTCGGTATTCCCAAACAGAACCGATCAATATTTTAATATAATTTTATATATATTTGAATTAATAATGGCCCTTGGATTTAGTTGAGGTTCAATCTCAACCCTTCGTTACTCTCTGTCACCTCACGTCCTCGGAGACTTCAAACTCTCCCATCTATCATCTCACCTCCATAAAGCTCCCTACACCTTGGCTATCATCATTATGGCTCAGCCATAATGACTTCCACCTCTTTGCTAGCACCTAGACTCTAGGCATATTGACTTTCAAACATAAAGCAGAGACAACTTCGCCTTCACAATACAAAATCAATGTAACTTTCATACGTAACCCCGATATTCTTTCTTTCTCTCTCTCTCCCTCTCTCATTTGAGTTCTCTCTGATTTCTCTGTCGCCCAGCCAATGTAGCTACCACGCACCACCACCAAATGACTTCGTGGCGCAACCACCACATGTCCACCACCATGTCGCACAACCACCATGTTGTGCAGCCACCACGACTCGCTTGCTGATTCTTTGTCTCTCAATCTCTCCTCCTCCCTTATTTTCCACCTCTGTTGGCGACGTGGGAAATCTTTGCATGAAAAGTGGCCAATCTAGAACCGTACCGAAATCCCAAATTTTTTTCGAGAATCCCAAACTTTCGGTTCGGTTTCGGTTTTTGGAATCTCATCTCCAAATAGATTGGTTCAGGATTCAGGTTATGTGTTTGGGTTTGGGATCCCGTCTCGAAACACCCCTAGATAAAAGTCAACAACAGAAAGAGAAAGAAAGCAGGCATGGAGACGAAGTGACAGAGGTTCCAAAGCTAAGAAACGGAAAGAGGAAAAATGGATGACTCCATTACCTCCAATTGGTAGTTTAAAAACTCAAAGGAAAGACAAGTCAAACAAGTCTTTTTCACAAGGCTAAATAGTAAAAATAATCCCTGAGATTTGCATAATCAATAAAAATGATCATTGAGATTGTCCACCATCCATGATTTTGGTCATTCCGTTAAAAACTCTTTGGAAAATTTTTAAAGCTTCATAACTCAATCGTTTCTTAACCAAATTCGACCCATAATATATCAAAATAAAGATAGGAAAGTGTAGAACAAGATCATACCTATTTGGAAGCCCAATGATTGCAATAGATAGTCGAAAAATAGCCTGAAAGGTGACTGGTCCGCGGGAAAACTGGAAAACTCGCTGGAAATTGGGTAAACTTTAAACGTTCATAACTTCTTCAATACTCAACAAAATCAAGTGATTCAAAAACAAAAATTATACTTCTTGATAAGACGAAGATAATGGTACCTTTCTCGACAGCTAACTCATCTTAGTTTGGCCGAAAAACGGCTCGAAAGTGGCTAACCATTTTCGAGTTAGCACATCAAAAAAAGTACCATTCTCTTTGTCTCATCAAGAAGTATGATTTTTATTTTTGAATCACTCAATTTCGTTGAGTATTGAAGAAGTTATGAACGTTTAAAGTTTACCTAGTTTCCGGCAAATTTTTCAGTTTTCCCGCGGACCAGTCACCTTTCAGACTATTTTTCGGCCATCTCCGGAAACCATTGGACTTCCAAATAGGTATAATCTTATTCTAAACTTTCCTATCTTCATTTTAATATATTATGGGTTGTATTTGGTTAAGAATCGTTTGAGTACGAAGCTTTGAAAATTGCCCAAAGAGTTTTTAATGGAAGGACCAAAATCATGGATGGTGGACAATCTCAAGGACTATTTCTATTGATTTTGAATCTCATGGACCATTTCTATTGATTATGCAAATCTCAAGGACCATTTTGGATATTTAGCCTTTTCACAATGAAAAAATGTTCCAGCTTTCATGCTTTCAAAATCCTATTTCAAATAGGATTGAATTCCTTGAATTCCTACGAAATCTATTGGAGAAGGAAGGTGCAAAGGAAGAGGAAAAATAAAATACCTCTCACGTGGTTTACCAAAAAAAAAAAAAAAAGCCCTCTCACGTGAGTTTATCACAAACATGACCTCCATGAAGTTAAAGTTAAAGTTAAACATGGAGCAAGAAATGTCGAGACAAAAGATATGGTATCGGGCTAAAGCCAGACATGGAGTAAAGTGGAGGATGTAAATCACTTCAAATATTGTAGATGTGAACCATCTCAAAGCACAATGGTT